GAGTCTGACATGATGTCACTACATGCACTGCTCCTCTCCGCTGGGCGCTGGTAAGCGCGTCCTCCAGCTGTGAGCTGTCGGCATCGCACGTTCATGTGTTTTGGGGGCGTGGTTTTGGAAGGAGCCCAGAATGGAGGGGGTGGAAGTGAATGGAGATAAGTAGCTGTGTTTATTACAGCCCTGAGAGGACTACAGACACTCGATTTTTATATTCTCTTTTCCAGAGTACTTACATTTTAATTATGCATTGATATATATAGAAAGTTTAAACAAATTTGGCAAAAAGTTTTTAAAAAAAATTCTACCTACAATACCTTTAATGAACATTTATACGCACAAGATGTAAACAAGCCGGATTATAGCAGTATTGCTAATTTACGTCCGTAGTCCCTAGGCAGGTACACACAATAACAGATACTCAGTACAAGACTCCACTAAAACACAATACATAAAAAACACATCACAAAAATTTGCTAAGAAAAATGTTTACACACTTGATTCTTCATAAGCCACTTCTTAAGATATTCCTTAAAAGTGTGATAAGTAGAACATTGTCTTATTGACTGTGGCAGTCTATTAAAATATTTGCTCCCTATCACTGACAAAACTTTCTGGCCAAAAGATGTTCGCCTATTTGGTACTTCCCAGTCCCCTCTACTGACAGACCTGGTACCAATACCACAATCTGCCCTCTGTTTAATAAACTCCTTCAATGGAGGTGGAGCAAGGCCATGCCAGACCTTATAAACAAAGCATGCATAATTAAATTTTTTAAAGTTTTCAAAACTCAATAGATTATGTTTTTTATATATTTTACAGTGGTGAAATGAGAGGGTTTTTTTATCAAACACTTTTATCGCCTTCTTATAGTGTAAGAAGTTCAGTGTTTCTATTGGCTTAAGTATTGAGTTATTCGTAAAAGACCAACTACTGAAACAATACTGCATATGTAAGAAAAAATCATTGAAAATAAATACAACCTCGCAGCACCAACTTTCAAGAAGGACCTGATATACCTAAAATTATTTAAATTAAATTTCACAATATTAGACAACTTTTTTACATGGCTTTTAAAAGTGAGAGTAGAATCTAAAGTGACTCCAAGATACGTAAACTCCTTCACAACTTCTAGATATACATTTGAGTGCGTCATCTCTACTAATCGTTTTGAGACAACAAGGTTTTTAATCCTTTTTATTAACAAGGTTCGGGAGGAACACGTTCTAATGATTAAACAATCAAGTCATTCCAACCAGCCATCAGCAATCAGTAATCAGTAATCAACAGGTCCTTCCCCTCTTCCTGCCGTAGCGCCATATACAGATTGGCCCGTCGGCCCCCGCTTAACCTCCCAGCACCTTCTTCCCGAGGTTTCTAACCTCTTTCCTCTGCAGTGGCATCCAGTTCCCGTAGCAGACCTCCGCTAGTGGCGCAGGCCCAGACATTACATCATCTTCCTGCGACTACCACTAACCCTTCCCCTTTTCAGTGGCCTGCAGCACAAGCAAGCGCGAGTCTGCCTCCGTTTGCAACACAGGCTCACGCTTCTCATTTCTACCCTTCCCTTCCCCCTTATGCTTCCCTCAATTTCCCTCCTCAAGCCCCACAGGCAGACTTAAGCGTGAGGCTGCCTCCGCCAATAGTCACAGCCCCGGCTTCTCTCCCCTACAGCTCTCTTTTAAATATAAAATCACATTAATCTCTTTTTACAGCTACACCATTGCCCGTCCCATCAAACGCCGTCGCCTCGGGACCGCCCCCTGTGGCTCACAACATCCGAGCACAGATCCTGGCAGGTACGGACATTGACCTTTCACTTTTACTTTCTCTGCTTCCCGCTTCCAATTCTAACCGCCAGTTAGACTGCAGGGATTTTTCAGTCAAGTTAAAAAGCCAAAACACACATTCGTCATGTTTACTTCCTTTTTCCGAATTTTCGATCGCCTTCAGCCGCTTCACAGAAGTTATTTGTTCAGTCTTCCCTCATCGGCGGTGCGAACTGAACGACTATTTAGCGCTCATAGCCGAGCTCAGGTTGTCCTACGGGGAGGGCACTTTTACACTTATCACAAACTCTTCTCAGCAAAGTGCGCTGTTAGGGTTTCCCAGTGGAACCAGTGCCCTTACTGGGGAGCACTCGACACCGACCTACACAGCAGAGTATTCCTTGGCTTCAGGAACATTTCTTGCGGCGGTTTGCAGGTCAGTGGCACATTCTAAGTTAAACCCTCCATGCCCCCCTGCCCGGACACAGCACCAGTTAAATCCGCCAGCTACGTGCCAAGACTGGCAACTATCAACTCAAATCTCCACGATGTTAATTTCAGCACCAGAGCATCTACTGACAGCAAACAGCCTTGCTACAATTTTAACATCGGCAAGTGCACCAGGCAGCGTTGTCGGTACTCATGCCCGTCCTGTATGCCCTGTGTTTAAAGATGTCAATAAAAAAGCTAAAAATTATTTATTGACTCCCGTGAATATTGCTCGCCTATCTATCGAACTAGCTCACCTCACTAGACTCCGACTTCACTGAATATCTGCTGTCCAGCCTCCAACATGGTTTTAAACCTGGAGTGGAATGCCCACTCTCCCAAAACATCATCTGCGATAATCTCCAATCGGCTCTCGCCGAGCCCGACGTAGTAGACAACCTGTTTAAAAAAGAAGTCGAGTCAGGCTTTACGATTGGCCCTTTTGACGATCCTGCATTCAAAGTTTTTCGAATTAGCCCTATCGGAGTGGCTACGAGAAAGTTTTCAGGTAAGAAATGCGGTCAGCTCCGCATAATTCCCTGTTCCCAAGCATTAACAGCCTGATCCCACTCGATGAATTTTCTTAACTTAACTTTATTTGTCCCTTAAAGGGAAATTTGTTTTGGGCAATACAGGTAACAGCTGCATAACAAGATACTCACATCAATACCATAACAATCACACAGTTGTGTCCCTTGCACCAGAGTTTAACAACCTTGTAGCCAAAGGAACTAAATCATTTTTATAGCAGTTGTATCTAAACCTTAGGGTACGAAAACGTACCAGGTGGAAGTAGTTCGAATTCTGGATAAAATACATGAGAAGGGTCCAAAGTCATTTTCCTCACCTGTTTAAAAATAATTTTGTTAAAGGGGTCATATAATGACATTTATGTACAAGTTAATATGAATCTTTAGGGTCTAAATGAAAACTTTGTAAAATACTTTTATTAAAAATTCTTAGTATTGTAAGAAAACTCTAATTTTACCTGGTCAAAAACAGGCACGCCGTTTGAGTGCATGTGCCTTTAAATGATAATGAACTTTGCTCACTCCGCCCCTCTGTTCTTTGGGGCTTTTTGAAACAACGCACATGGAGTGTTGCCTTGACAACAGTTGAGGGTATATTTTGGAACATGAATGGCAGCGGGAGTCTCTGAGGACACATCTGTGTAACCATACCAATTTGAACCGGAGTCGGACCCGGAACAAGATAACGGCCCCGAAGAAGTTCGACAATTAAGGCTTGAACAGGACGTTTCTGAATGGTTGGTTAACGTAATGTCATTTTGATCTATTTTTGTATGTACTGGCAGGGTAGAGTAGTGAGATACAAACGCCTATGTGTTTACTGATGTATAGGTTAGTTCAGGGGTTTTCAAACTGGGGGCGCCAGGGGGGCCGCAGCAAGTTGGAAGAAAAGTAAAAAAAAAAAGTAAAAAAATAAATAAAAAAATATTTATATTTATATTATTATGAGTATTGTAATGAAATAGCATTATAATAATTTGTGCATAGCCTATCTGAATATTATACTTGTAATGCTAATCTTTTAGAGATGCACCGATTGATTGGCTGGTGACCGGAATTGGACGATTTTCATGTGATTGTCGACCGGCCGATCAGTCTGACATGCTGATTTTATGCCGGTCTAATGCACTCGTGCGCCGCATGATTAACATCGCGCAACATCAGCATCCCACATGCACACGGAACGCACATGTAGGAAACCTCGTGAATTACGGCCGTTTCAGATCTCAAGGCGCGTATTTTTTCGGCGTACATGTTTTCAATGCGCGAGCTTCATTCACAGCGCGAGCAGGAGCGCAGAGCAGGAGCGTAAGCAGCAGTGAAGCGGGTTTAGGCACAATCTATTTTTGCTGCGCAGCTCACACTCAATTAAAGTAAAAGCACACTTTTGATGGACAAAATAAATATGATTTCACACAAAAAGTGCCTAAAATGCTCATAATTTGCATGTCTAGTGTGTTTTAACAAGAACCGGAGTAGGCTATGTCAGAAAAGAAAATGAAGACTCAAAAATATTTATAGAAAATTTACCCATATAAACTTAAACTTGTCTTAATTATTCAGTTTGGGTAAAACTATATGATGTTATATATATATATATATATATATATATATATATATATATATATATATGCAATATATACCATTTAATGCTGCATGCAGGGGCTCGGGCCCTGGGTACTCGGTACCCTTTATCCCCCCCTGGGGGGGTGTAAAGCTTACTGTACACCACTTTATACTGCCCATCATTTGGTCTTCTTATAAAAAATCCAGCATGCAGAAGTTAAAAGTTCCCTACAATGAAGCAATGAGAATTTTACTCAAGGTTCCTAGAGGAGGGAGTGCTAGTCAGCTGTTTGTATCTGTAGGAGTAATCACACTGAAAGCACTTTTAAGAAATTTGATGTTTAAGTTTATGCAACGTCTGGATGAGTCTACCAACAGTATCATGGTGGCACTCTCAAATCCCTTAGTGAGCTGCTCCAGGTACACAGCCAGACTGACAGTGCATTGGCTGAAATGTCTGTATGTATTTTAATTCTTGTATTTTTTTTTGTTTTTTTTTTGTTTGTTGTTATTTGTCTTGTCTTGCGTGGTTTTTTGACATGAGTCTGGCAAATAAACTAACTAAACTATCTATCTATCTATCTATCTATCTATCTATCTATCTATCTATCTATCTATCTATCTATCTATCTATCTATCTATCTATCTATCTATCTATCTATCTATCTATCAGTTTGTGTATCATATAGAGCCTTTATCTCTCCACCCATCCATCATGTCCAGCTCAGATCTCCTGCCGTCAGACTCACTGTTTTGGACGATGTCCTGCATCTTCTTCCAGACTCTGAACGGCAGGTTGCCCAAGTATCGCGGCACATGAATCAAAGCTCCAGAAGCCATCTGTGGATCCGGCCGTGAGCTCTGGACTCTGGAAGAACATTCAGGAGTCAGAACTGCAGTGGCTTTGGATCAGAACCAGAGAGACCAGAGACAGGAGCAGATCACTCACCTTTCCATTGAGACTGGAAACTCCTGCAGAACAAACACACCATTATCATCAAAAACTCAATCAATCAACCAATGATCAACCAATGATCTGAGATCAGACCTTCAGAAAGCAGACGTCATTGGCTTCCATCATCTCCTCCATGTCTTTGAGTGTGTGTGAAAGAGCTGAGATGTGTGTGTTCATCTCCTCCAGCTTCTCCTTCATCCTCTGCTTCTTCTGCTCCTCTTCCTCCCTCAGTGCAGTGACTGTAGCTTCTTCTTCATCTCTGAGAAACTGATGAAGCTTCTCAAACTGCTGTTTAATCTGACGCTCTGTGTGCTCAGCTTGAGCCTGAAATCACATCACATTCACTTCAATCATCTCAATCGACACACATCAACACTTCACATCATTCATATCAGAGATAAACTCGATACCCGACATATAACGGATCCAGAAGCAGATTGATGCTCGTCATTTACAGAAATAATCAACTGGAATCCATTATATTAAATCATAACTGTTTACAGTGATACTATACATGACTCTTGATTCTGGTTTCTCACCTTGATGTGTTGAACTGTTTTCTCAAACTCTCCTTTCATTTTTTCATTGCGTTTAAGTTTCTCTTGTAAGGACTTCAGTGCTGTATTGAACTCTTCCTAGAATTGGACAAAAAACATAAAACACAAGATTACAGTGAAGAGAAGAAGAGAAGACAATACAGTGATATAATCATATAATACAGTGAAAAAGTATGTGCCCTCATCCTGATTTATTTTATTTTTGTGCACATCTCATATTAAATTGATTCAGAAATTAAAACATAAAACAAAGACAACCTGAGTAAACAAAAAGTATAGTTTGTAAAAGAAAATGTTATTTATTGAAGCAAAAAGTTATCCAATACCAACAAGGCCTGCGTAAAAATGTATTTTCCTCTGTAGTTACTAATTCCTCAAATCTATGAAATGTATTATAATGTGGATGAGCTGGACTAAACACAACCAGTCCTGATTACTGCAGCCCTATTCAATCAAATCAACACTTAAATAGGACTTTTCCAACAGCATCAGTTGGTTAAAAGGTCTTAAAGTGCCCTATTATGCTTCTTCGAATATTCCCTTTCACGCGGTGTGTAATACGACTGTTTGTGAATGTAAACGTTCTGCAAAGTTGTCAAGTGTAAGTTATTGTATTATTATAAAGTTATTGTCTCCCAAAAGAAAGAATCGAGTCTGAACCGCCTGAACGAGTCGTCAGTAACTCCAGTCTCACTTCTGTGACTGGCATACGTAACAATGTATGGATTAACACCCATACCATTTCGTTTTAAGAGCATAAGGTGTGGCTGCACGGTATTAAAAGCAGAGCTCAGATCAAGAAATAACACCCTGGCATAGGGTTCCCATTTATTCATGGGTATTATAATTGTAGTATCATTATTTAATATAAGTTTATGTAGTTTGGATATTAGTTTGTTGGTATTAGTGGTTTTTATTATATCTTCCATTAACTGAGAGGGATGAAGTGGGTTATTAATTATGTTGATCTTGGTTTTAACTATGGATTTAATTTGTTGATATTGTAGAAACTGTTCTCCCCCAAGACCGTACCTCTGGACTAGTATTTTAAATGATACGAATTGGTTGTTTTCAAATAAGTGATGGAAATGAGTGATTCCTTTTTGTTTCCAAGATGGAAAATTAATCGGTTTATTGCATAATTGAAAATCAGGGTTGAACCAAATGGGGGTGTGTCTGCATGATGTTAATGGTGAATTATTAATTTTGTTTACTTGCCACCAGGCTGTCAGTGTTGATGCAACTGTAATATTATTAAAATAGAGCATTTTCTTAATTGATTTTGGTAGAAAGGCAAGGTCTGAAACTGAAGTATCTTTGCAATGGTTTGGTTCTAATTCCATTCATGAATTATTATGATTATTTTTATGAATCCATTTATATAAATATTGTAGCTGGTTTGCTAAAAAGTAATATTGAAAATTTGGAGATTCTAGGCCGCCGTGTGATTTTTGTCTTTTGTCATTTTTCCAGTGATATTTTAGGTGTTTTATTTTTCCAATAGAAGTGAGAGGTTAATGAATCCAGTGATTTGAACCATTTATCGGTGGGTGTTGTTGGAAGCATTGAGAACAGATAGTTGACTTGTGGTAAAGTTTTCATTTTAACTGTAGCAATGCGACCGATAAGTGATAGTGGTAGGTTAGTCCAGCGTTTTAAGTCATCTCCAATTTTTTGTAAAAGTGGGGTATAGTTAAGATTAAACAACTCTGACAGTCTGGAGGAAATGTTGATACCCAAGTATGTAATGTTGCCAGTGTGGAGTGGAAGAGAAGAATCATGAGCTGTGGAATCCCAGGCGCCCTCAGAAAGTGGTAATATTGTTGATTTATTCCAGTTTATTGTATAATCAGAAAGTTTTGAAAAAATATGAATAATTTTAAAGGTTTCTTTCAATGACTTATAAGGGTTTTGTAAACATAACAATAGATTATCTGCATAAAGACAGCTCTTATGTTGTGTATTGACGTTTTGTATTCCTTGTCGTTTTGCTGCTGCAAGTGGTTCTATAAATAGGGCAAATAAAGAGGGAGAAAGTGGGCATCCTTGTCTGGTCCCTCTGTGAAGTGTGAAATTTGGTGATGTGATCCCATTTGTTGGCCCTAGGTGAAGGATATAATATTTTAATCCAGTGGATGAATGACTCTCCAAAGCCAAATCTATGTAGAGTGTTAAAAAGAAATGTCCAGTTAACTTTGTCAAATGCTTTTTCGGCATCAAGTGATATATACAATTATAGTTTTAGTATGATTTTGTTGGGCAAGGTTAATTAGGTTGAATAATCTACGCATATTATCTGAAGCACTCCTGTGTTTAATAAAACCTGTTTGATCATGGTGAATTAACATCGGGATAACTGTTTCTATTCTAGTAGCTAATGCTTTGGTAATGATTTTTAAATCTGTGTTTATTAATGAAAGAGGGCGGTAACTAGAAGGGTGCATTGGATCTTTGTTTGGTTTTAGCAAAAGTGTCATAACCGCCGTATTCATGTGTGCTGGTATTGTCGAAGTAGTTTTAATTTCTTTAATAACTTTGAGGAATAAAGGAGATAGAATTGGCCAGAAGTGTCTATAGAATTCAGCTGGTAGTCCATCAGGTCCGGGTGATTTGTTATTTGGCATTTGGTCTAATGCTTTATGGAGTTCAGCATGAGTGAGAGGTGTATCTAATGCATTTGCCTGTTCTTTTGACATTGATGGTAGCTTTAATTCTTTTAGAAAATGTTCTATTTCTACTTCATCTGGATTGCGATTAGAAGAATATAATTTTTGGTAGAAAGTTCGGAATACATTATTATTTTCTTGTGGGTTCTGGGTTAATTTATCTGAATCATCGTATATGGATGGAATAATTGCTTTTTCTTGTTTACGCTTTAGTTGATTTGCTAAATTTTTACAATTTTTACAAATTTTGTTACAATATTGGTATTGTTTGTATTTGAGTTGTTGGATAATAAACTGTGTTTTTTGGTTTATGATACTATCGAGTTCAGCTTTACGATGGTTTAGTTTGCATTGTATTTGTTCACTAGGGCTGGTAGAGTAGGTATCTGTGAGGAGTTTAATTCTCTGTTCTAAGTTATTTTCCAGCTGTTGTTGTTGTTTTTTTCCTGTATGATGAATATAATATTATTTTTCCTGTAATTACTGCTTTGCCTGTTTAATAACGATGGCGAAATCCCAGGAGAGTCATTCATTTCCAGGAAGAAAGCCCACTCTTTCTTAATAAAACTGTCGAAGTCAGAATCGCGAAGTAGTGAGGTATATACCTCCAATAGATACCTCCTTGATTTAGAAGTTATATTTACAGTAGTCAACATTTGAAGTGGATCAAAAAAGTGAATCCTTAAGTTGTCCTATAAGAACAGGTATTGTTCAAAATTCATGTATAACTTTGATGAAAGGTTTTGATCCACTTCAAATGTTGACTACTTTATTATCATCACCATTATGTATCAACTGCAGTAGCATTAATAGAGATTTGCATACTGGACAAAAGACGCATCCCAACTCCTTCAAGGAACCCTTGAGAATTGAAAACGCTCGCTCCGTGCCAGTGGACACGCACCAGACACAGAGCGAAGCGAGCGTTTTCAATTCATTCCTAAGTTGAGCTTCACGCTCGCGCAGTGCATTGTGGGATTGACAGTGGACTGGAGAAAGTGTAGAGAGCGTCAAAAGGTTGGGCAGTTTTCGACTTTATGCAAATAGCAAGCGGACAACGAGGTTGGCAACCAATCGCTGTGAGGTTCGGGTTTTGACTTCTGTCTTTAGAGTTTAAAAATATGCAGATTGTGCCGGTGTTATTGCTGGATTTAGTGCGTAAATCGTTTTGTTTATGAGTTAGAGGCTTTGCAGTTGTTTTATATTAAATATTTTATTTTGGATGTGTTCATTGTGATTATATTGGCTGGGTTTATAAAAGTTTATAAAATTGAAAGGATAATATGCTTGGTGCATTTGGAAACAAAGCTTGTCTATTTCTAAATGTGATCGCGTGCATCTCTGATACTGAGTATGATACTGGGGCCAGTTGCATAAACTTAGACACTATGTTAAGACTGTGTCTTAATAACTAATTTGGCCAACTAGAAATTAGTCAATAGGTAATCACTCTTACTTTTCTGATTCAAATAGACTGATCTACCTCTTTATGTAACTGACTTTAAAAAGTTAGCACCAGTCTTGAAGAAAAAATTAGATGACTAACTTTTAAGACTAGTCTAAGCAGTTAAACCATATGTGACTAAAGGTATTGAGGAAATGATAAATGTGATGAAAGTAGCATTTAAAGATAAAGATATTAAGACACTTAAACAAACAGAAAGAGAGTTAAAAATTAAATTAAAGGAAACGAAAGAAGTTCATAAGAAATGTTTGGAGAAAGCCTTTAAAATTAATAACACCAAAAAGGTTTGGGACATTATGAAAACAATGTCCGGATTGTCCTCTTCAAAAAAATCTATTGTAGCTGATGATGATTAAACATCTTTTTCACCAGATTTGAACAAATGGGCAAACACAATAAGATCAAAGAAACAATAGATATAGTTCCATCATCATTGGACAGAATTGTTATTGAGGTTGAGGATGTTAGGAAAACGTTTCAGTCTATTGATACAAAAAAGGCTGTTGGTCCTGACGGATGTAGTGCAGGTCTTCTAAAGAATTTTGCACATGAATTAGCACCGGTGTGGCAACCAGTATTTCAAGCTTCCGTTGACACACACACTGTTCTTGTGATATGGCAGCCCGCATACATTAAACCATTACCGAAAATGCCATGTCCAAGAGAAAATAAAGATTTTAGACCAATAGCCCTCACCTCTGTGATCGTGAAATGTTTAGAGAGATTGTTACTCCAGCATTTAGTTAAGACAGTTAAAGATAAATTAGACCCTTGGCAGTTTGCCTATAAGAAAGGCCGTAGTACTGAAGATGCAGTTGCTGCTTTAGTACATATCAACTCTAAACATTTAGATAAACCTAAAACAATTGTAAGAACTTTGTTTTTAGATTTCTCTTCTGCATTCAACACAATACAGGTTGACAGATTGGTGTCAAAACTCGTACAGTTGAACGTTAATCCCTATCTGATCCAGTGGTATACTTCATTTCTCACTGATAGAGTTCAGAGAGTTAAAGTGAATAAAACAGTGTCGTCTGCAATCATTACAAATGTCAGAGTACCGCAA